AAAATATGTATGTGGGGTAATCAGGTTGTTAGTTTTTAACTGTTGCAAATTGGCAACGTCTGCCTTGAGAGGGTTGACAGGGCATGCTCATTATTTTCCTTTCTGTGTATATTTAATCAGAATGCATTATAGTCTTTGTAGTTATCTGATCGTAGGGCTGAAACCAATTCTTTTTATTATCTACGAACCATAAATTTTATATCTATGAAACTGTGTCAGAAAACTGCGAAAAGTGAAATGTCCAAAACAGATAACCATCTAAATTTTAATTTACAATGATGTAAATAGTCAAATACTTGCACAATACTTGTTTTAGTTGTTAAATGAACTATAAATGTGTGATTATTCCATCAATTTTATCTGTTTTGGTGTTGAATGTAGCCTTATGCAATGTTGAAAGGGGTTCAGAAACATCACTGTGTCTGATCCAGTGGTTGGGCATTTGGATTTCTATCATTGTTACAGAGAAAATAATTAAAATATAGAGAATTAAAGTTGCCGAGCTTAAAAAGGATTCCAGTTTTGACTGAGGGCTTTAATGACAGAAAGTTTTTCTAGGAAATAAAATGTGAATCTGTAACACCTACTATACAATCCATTCAGGAAAGTCATCCTCATTGAGTTCATTGAAGTGGTATATATTGTTGAATCACTACATTGTATCTTTGGAGGAGAGGTGCTGTCTGCTGGCCATGACAGGGACAGACGGTGTTGGCATGGCCTGAAAGGAGCCATCCTCCTACCGCATGTGCCAAATGGTGTCAGTCTGCCACTGGCTTTCACAGCACGTTTCACACTGGAGGTTGTGGGTAAAGGACCAAGAATACATTAGGCAAAGCTGTTGAAGCATATGGCACATTTTGAAATGCACATGGTGCTTTGATTAATTAGAAATTAGGCAGTTTGAATTGTGATCAAAATAAGAAGAAAACAATTAATCTATTGTATCTTTTTAAAAAAGTGTTGTTTTCCTTTCATTATTATTAACCCTGGATTTTTTTTTTCTTGCTTCACTGCTTCATGTCGAGGTGCAATCAAAGGCCACACAAACATCATGAGTCTTTTCTGATCTTAGTGTTTCTCCCCAAACAGGAATTTGAACTGGTGACTGGTCTGTTTTTTAGACCTTCAAGCTACTTTGATGCTGTAATCGATACATAATGGTATAATGCTCCTTCCCCTCAAACCATCTTCTCCTCTTTCTTCTTTCCCACTCGCTCATGTTTGTATTCACTCAGTAAGTCATGTGGTTAGAAACTGTGTCTCTGAAGCAGACAGCCTGGAATGTGCAGCTGTTTTACAGTATTTAGTAAGATAAAAATCTCTAAAGAACACTCGTTATCCATCATTCACAATGTAGCAAATATAAATGTCTACACATAAACATTTGTATATTTTGATGTGCACAGAAAGGTTTAAAATACTGTTATTTTTTCAGTATATAACAGTAAGAAGGTCACTTAGATCTATAGCTTTTTCAGTGTCAACGGATTTGCTGAGTATTTTGTGGAAAATGTAATTTGGCTAAGTTTGTACACACAAACAAAGAATTTGACTCTGGTTCATATAGGAATATAACTGAAATAAAACCAGTTGGAAGCCAGTTAAGTTTAGTAGCCTGTAACAAAAAGGCATCAGAGATGAGTTTTCGCTCTCTGGTGCAGATTGATTGCAAAGTGCTGGCAGTCTGGTTGCATTTATAACTTGGTAATTATTTGAAAGCCTTAACTGTAGTTAGTCAAAGTAAGATCCCAATTATCTAGAGACAGTTTGCCACCAGCCACGTGAGCTTGCAGTCAAAGCAGTCACACTCTTAACCTGTGGTCAACTAGTTGGTCACTCCAGCTACTTGCAATTGGTTGCTTACAGCAAAAAAATTCAGTCCAGTCACCGGGCAAAGACGTTGTGATCCTATGTACTATAGTGTGACTTAGCCCTTATGTTAATGTTTAAAGGTCTGCATCCAGTAAATAAATGCTCACTGATTTTTCTGTTTCTAACACGTCATTGTTTGGTGGCATTATTAAAATCTGCAGAATGTTTATCACAAACTGGCTAAAAGTAGGTGGCAAGGAGTCCACGCAAGATGTTTAATTGAAGATAATTTAATAAACATAAACTAATCAAGCCACAGACATTAAAGAGGGTTAATGCAAGGTGAACTGGAAGTGAGAGACTGAACAGTTCATCTGAGCCAGCTTATTTAGCCTCTGAGGCCCAGATGAATGCATTAGCTGATGGCCTTGCCATATCAGTAGTACTCAAGTACTCACCCCATCCCACACCAACCCCCACCCCCCACCTCTTAATAATCAAGATTCAACCTTGACACTGGAACTGAACTAATCAGAAATAAAGCAAAATAACAGAAGGCAATATTGAAACATTTGAATATTTATTAGTACACATAATACTGCTACAAACATGTACTATTATTGCTGCTGCTGTTGTGAAAATATATTTTTTATCTTGTACTTGTTGTAACTGCTGTATTGTATTTGTCTTTCCTGAATTCTTTTCCAGATCTCAGAGCAGTGACTGTCAACAACCATGAGCAGCGGAGTGAATATCAAAGTCATATCTCGGAGGCAGAGTGACGCAGGTGTCAGCTCCAGTCTGCCGTCACCTCGAAGCACAATGTCGGTCTCAAAGGCAGAGCCCAAAGAGCAATACGGTGGGCTCCCTAATCCCACAATGCAGTATCAGCACAGCGCAAAACGACGGCCTACATATTCTTCACTGTCTGGTTCTTCAGGAGCTGCAGAGCTGCTGAGAGGTGCCGCTTTAAAGAACAACCTGCTGCACCAAAAGACTAGCATGTATTCACATAGAAGCTCAGCAGCTGCAGGGCGAGCTGATGGAACCTGCTCAGCTTACAGCAGCCCTCAGATACCAAGGAGGGAAGTTCCACGCTCGAAAGACACATCAGACATCCGCAGCGACACGATAACCCAGAAAGCTTTGAGAGACCTTCAGTTAAGAAGAAACACTAACAAGAACTGGACCTTTGGAAAGTATCGTCAGAGGAGTGTGGACAATGCACAAGAGGGTAACACTTTGCGACACCGCCCACCAAATCCTCAAGTAGGCTACGGAAGAGGACGTCTTCTTTATAGTAAAAATGCAAATGGAAATGAGATACCAGGAGTATCTTCAGCAGGAATAGAGAACTTCCAAAAAGAAGTGAGGAACATCTCCAACTATGACCTGGAAGCTTCTGACAGGGAGCTTTTCAACAAATCAAAGTCTTCCCATCAAACATTCAACCTGCCACGCAGAGGGAGTGAGCCAGGAAAGGTCAACATGGCTGCTGTTGCTCCATTTAGATTCAGGTGAGGGCAGTGTTTCACCTTTTAAGATAGGAAGATATACAATAGATTACAGTTTATTTCTAGGACACAGAAAATAATGCACACTAATAATGTCTCATACTTTTTTATTATTCATGGTCTTATTAAAAGAAAGACAAAAAAACCCTGCTCCCTGGTATCTGTTAGTTTATGCATATAGCCTCACTCTCTTGAATGCAGTATTCAGTGATCAAAAGTTATGTCTAAACAGACATGGATTTAAACCACCGTTTGTTTGTTTGACCTGTTTGTTTCTTTGTTTGTTTTTTTTGTAGGTTTAAGATTCACGAGGATACAGATACCTCCCTGGATGATCTCAGTGACTGCTCCTCTGACTCCATGGAGGTCTGTTGTGATGATCTAGGTGAGTCTTTTTGAAATTCTTTCCATTAATCTTTCTACTGGACACATCTGTTATAAAGCAGTTGTTCTTAATGTGGGATCTTGCACCTCTAAGGAGTTACCAAATAACTTTGGAGGGTCATAGACTTTGGAATTTCCGTGATCTTTGCTGCTGTCATATGAAATATTTAATTGTTCTCATTCATATGAGTAAATAATTATAAGAAAAATCAACAACTCTTTTGTGGAAGTGGCATCAAATTTAAGGTAAAACTCATTAATCTTTTATCTGGTATTCCATTTCTCTCTTATGGTTTATTCTTTGCTCTTTGATATTCAGTTAAGGCAAACAAATCACCTCCAAATACATGAAACACTCACATGTGCTGCCCAAACTTTTAAATGGGTGTCAATATAAACCCAGTAAAATTTATGCTTAATGATAAAAAGGGTGAATTCAGGATGCTAAAAATTATGAGCAAGACTGATGGATTTCCATCAGTCTTTGACTTTAAATCAATTCACTCTTCTTCTTTTCACTCTTTAAGTCTTTTCTAGTATTGTTATCCCCAAAGGACCTACCTAATTCATTAAAAAAAATGAACTTTTTTGAATTTTAAAAATGAACTGAAAGGGTCAGGCAGTTTATGCAAAAAAAAAGAAGGAAAACAAGAAAAGAACCCTGTTTTCCCATTTGTTTTATATGCATCGTGTAACACTCAAGTTTTTATATGGCTGAGTGTTGACACTGAACTCAGTTCAGCTTGACAGTTGTTCTCACCAAACTGCTGCCAACTCGCAACAAAATCTTTATGCTGCTTGTACCACCTGTTATGTTCATCAGGATTTCCTGAAGCACTTCACTTTTTCTTTGTGTGCATGTGGGAAAACAGATTGTTGGCAGAGAGTACTTCTCTCAAATCGCACACCACTGTTAATGCAGCACTGTTTATCAATGTTTTTGACATCTCTGATGTTCCATTACATTCAAATTTCCATTTTTTTTGCATCCCTGCTGTGTAAAACATAAAAAGTTGAAAGTTATTTTTGCATCAGCCCTGTTCCTCACACATCCTGTTGCTTGGACACTGTAATACAAACATAACGTGTGAACATAAACAGGGACAGTGTGTTAAAATAGTTTGTATGGTCACTATTTCATCGTTTTAAGGGATACACTTTTCCAAATGAAGATTGAAGCAGTTACCAGCATGGCAGATCTGTTAAATCAAATTAGAGAGAGACTATTTTATTAAAGCTCTACTGTAAGTAAGTAATATTAATTAAGAGAAATAAACAGACATCACAGAACAAAATTATTATTTAAACCCATATGTTGTAAAACTGTTACACATAAGCTTCTATATTTTATATTTTAATATTAAACATTGTTTTTAACCATTGTTGGAGAAGGACCAAGTTCTTTTAGAACTGTCACAATGATTGACAGTAATAAACTGGTCAAACATGAAAAACCACTAATCTTTTCAGACAACAACACACAAACAACTAAAACTCAAAGTGTGAGCAACAGAGTGTGGAGCATTTAAAACGTGGACCCCACCATGATGTAATCGATTGTATCTGAACTCTTGAATTCTTGATTGTAATATTGTGGTTATTTTTTATTATTTACTTTTGACCCAGTGTCAATGATGTTTAGAAAAGAGAATGAAGAGCATCAGCAAATTTAACTTGTTTGGGCAGTAAGTGGCATACATACACTATAGTGTTGAATCGCATGGCTGCAGATACCAGTTTATTTGTGTATCTTACATGCGTGAAGTCTCGGTCTGTGAACTCCTACACAATCAAAAGCTGAACATCAAAACTTGGCACTTCGGTACATTTTAGACCCCTAAAGGTTCTTATTTTTATCAAATATGTTATCATGTTGCCTAGCAACCACTTATTAACAGACTGAGGTGACCTATTTGTAATGTTTAGGCATCTATAATAACTTATAAAGGCATCATACTTAATTTCATAACAGCAACTAATTTATATCTGCAAGATATTTGAATTCTGCATGATATAGCATGATGTCATCATGTTGCCTAGCAACCACATATTAATGGGCTAATTTATGGACCTGTAACACTTTATAAAGGCATTGTTTAATTTCAATTTCATGACAGTAACGTCTAATTTTTTGATCCACTAAATGATATTATGGTCTTATTTTTAGTAGATATTGTGACCATTATGTTGCTCAGCAACCGCCTACCAATGGACAAAAAGAGCCAATTTTTAGCATCTTTGCACCTGTAACAGCTTATGAAAGCATCATATCGTTTTTCCTTTTTTTGTGTGGGTGTGTTCTTATTTTCAGCATGTTAAAATCCCATCATTTATAGCCAAAAATATATTATATTTGAATATGAATATTATAGTGTGCTATATAGGACATAATGAGCCCATCGCATTGCAGCCAACTAGCAATGAACCAAAATTATATTTATATAGTATATCAGGCTTGTCAGACATGTATGAGTATTACTGGCATGAGTTGAATACAGAAATCAATAACTACAACTGGACCAGATTTAGTCTTGGTTGGGCAACTAGTACATTCAGCCTAACAGCAAGCGATATTGACTCAAATTAACAGACAGTGATGCCCTCTTTAATGATTGAGTTAGCAAAATTCATCCCAGTAAAACTGAATTTACAGGGATGCATTCAAGTATTTTGAATTAGTTATGTTGTGTATTTTTGGATAACCCAAATCACACAGACTTTGAGGCTATTTGAAAACCCTTTAACTGACTTCTTAATTATCTTAATCACTTTGAGGGTTGAGAGCCTTCAGCCAGTCTCCTCTGGGAGAGACCAGACCAGCAACTGAGTGGTCCTCTGCCGAGGGTGGACAGATGCATGACTGAGAGACTGAGTGGTTTGATGGGAGGATCAGCTTTCACCTCCTGTCTGGGAGTTTCTCTTCTCCCCAGTGGAAAGACTTAGGGAACGCTTAAATTCATAGAGATGTGTCTTTGTAACCTGTCATATGTACATGTGTAATACTGATGGTTCCATTCGGCAGAAATAACTGTTCAGTTAGAAAAGTTTCCGGATAGGAAGACTCACTACTTTACAAACAGCAAGTAGTAGACAAGACCATTTAACCTTTGCTATTGTGTCTTGCAGCTTGAGCTCATCAGTAGACTTTCGTTCAGGAAAAAAAAATCATAATTATTCATCCCTTAGGCTTCTCACATTCCAGCTAACACAATGATTCCATTACATCTGTATTTAGAGACTCTTGCATCGCATTAGTTACCATATGTCTTCAACACAATTTTTACATGTGCTTTTAATTCTATGCTTCGACCTACAGCTCTCTGCAAAAGGTACACCTGCACATATTATGTCAAGTCACATGGCAGAGAGGCTGTTCAAATCATCTTGGACAGATGGTTTCTAATGACTTTGGCTGTATGGTTGTTGTTTGATTGCTTGGATATGATTCTTGACAATATTTTGTGATCAATACGTTTCAATATCAATATCAATTTCAGTATAATATATGTTATCCCACCTATTTGTTTACATATGAAGCGGGAAGGCAGTTGTTGTTTCAATCATTTGCAACATTGATTTTTCACAAATCAGAGATGTTGTGTTCTTTTTAGGCACACACATTTGTGTTTCATTAACTGGAAATGGCAATGGCACGAGTAAGTGGAATATGTAGTAAATCAGTAGTTGATGGAGTGATGGTTGCTGCTTAAAAAAATTCAATATATCCTCCAAACTCAGCATGGCACAAACCATTACAAATAAAAACTTTCAGAATGCAATAGGCCTTTTTCACATTCTGTCTGAAAGCCCAGTAATGTCCATGTGACTCTTTGTGGTTTTCCCCTTCATGCACATGTGTTGGTCTGCCTGATGTTCCTCAGTGCATTGCATCATAGCAGCTGAGCACCCCAAAAACGATTACACGTGCTGAAAAAGGGAAATGCACCACAGACAGCTGTGTAGCTGTCCTGCCATAGAAGTGTGTGCGTATACACACACACACACACATACACACACACACACACACACACACCTGCATTCACATATGGCCTCCTGGAGGATGTGAATCAGACCCACATACAAAAGAAACCAAATTAAAGATTCAGCTCCACCCACCTCGCGCTTGATGATGCAGTTTAAATTCAGTTTTTATATGTTTTCTAAAGGTGACAGTCACTGATGAGGTTTATATGTTGTTAAAGTGTATTGTCTTCTTACCAACTTCCAGTAATAGCACTTATTCATGTTTGTAATGCTGGTATTAATTCAACATTTATCTTAGCTACCACCAAGGAAATTTATAACAAAACTATTAATTAAAAAACAATGAAATCTGTACATTACAACCAGTGTTTGGTATCTGTACATTTTATCTTTGTTATGAATCTACCTGCACAAGCATTTAGCACCATCGGGCCTCTCTTGGCTTTTTGGAGGCTTGCACACAAATATGTCTTCACAGCATCTGTGCAGCTTGCGTTCCCGGAATCTTTCCCGCTGTTTTGCCAAAGAGCTAAGCAAATGAACATATGACGTGCCATAAATCCTGCATCAGGCAAAAAGGGTTTTTACATATAAACCCAGTCAAAACTTTATTTAGATGTTAAGTTTGTTTCTATGTTAGTTTCAGCATGCTAACATAATTAACCCTGTCATGCATGAATTATGACAACCTCAATCAGGATTTTTTTTTCCTGAAGTATTTTTATTCATTTTTAGGCATGAAAAGATGAATAAAAATACTTAAGAAAAAATCCTGATTGAGGTTGTCATAATTCATGCATGACAGGGTTAAATAACAATAATTACAATGAAACACGTCACACATTTATAGTAACATCAAACGACCAGTGGGTGGCAGGGTATGGAGTGACACATCAGTGTCCAATGTAGTGGTTTATGTGCAAGTATACCATCGACACTGACACAAATACAAGAAAACAGCCTTTGAATAGCGGCCCACTGTATTGACCACTATGTGTAAAAGGGTTAACAATGTCGTAAAGCAGAAACTTACTGGATAAAAATGAAAAGGACCATTAATTCTGAGAGGGAATGACCATATCTGGACAACATTTTTAAATAAAGTTAATGTGATTTATACTCTAAATGTTTTTTGTTTGTTCTAAAGTTGATGTTGAATTATTCCTCTCTGATCCAAATTAATTAGTTGGCCCACTTTAGGGACTTTCAACATCATTTGACAGAAAGTATTCAGTTTGTCAATGTCTGATGCAATCTTTATGCATAGGGGGCTTGTGATCCTATGATTCATTATGAAATCCCCACTCCCTAAACAAACCAGTTATTCACTGCATTGCAAGAGTGAGGTCACCGGCAGTGATCGCAAGTCAGGCAGGGAGGCTTGGATCTCGTGATGAGGAAGAACAAGAGTTGACATTGTTCCAGAAGCTAATTGCCAGATCAAACAGGGTTGCTAGTCCATGAGCCACCCCAGGTGCTCTGAAAGCCTAATAAAAAAGGCATTGGAGTGTGTTGCCAGCCTATTGTGAGAGTTAGAGTTGAACCCTCTCGACACTTAAGCAAGCAGGTCAAACACATCCGGTGGATTTGCACCAATTAGCGTTTTTTTTTAGTCATGTTGGTTAAGTGAATTGTGTACTTTAAAGGATTTTTTTTTTATTTCATAGAATGATTACATATCAACATGTTCTCATTGTCACAGTTTAGTGTTTGGGTTTTTTTGGCAGCTGTGGTTGTGCATATCTGGCGTGGATGACATGCAGCATTTGCAAAAGAGTATTTCCATAGAGCAGCCCTGCATGCGAGTTCTGCAGAGCCTGAGCCTCCTGAATCCTCTTCAGAGACTGCTGTGTCTAATACTGAATGACAATTATACTCGTATGTCAGCAAATAAACCCTGCACAAAATGATGTGACTGGAGTTGCAATTTGAAGTGTGTGCGTGCATGCATGTTTGCATGTGTGTGTGTGTGTGTGTGTGTGTGTGTGTTTAAATGCATCTTTTGGTGACGTAAAGATATTTCCAAAGTGTGGTTTTGGGTGTGTTACTTGCTTACACTGGCACATCTTGTTGCTCTCCCAGTCTGCAAAAGTGAAGTCACTCTTTTGGCAGATACACTACATTTTAAGTCATATTTCCAATTTTTTTTTTTCAAGCAGTGAACAAAACTATTCAGTTACTTTTCCTTATTTTCTCTGTTGACATTAAGTTTAAATGATTTTGTGCTTATTGTTGATATAGTATGACTAAAGGTCCACTAATCTTTTTTTTGGCATAAATCAAGAATAGATATCTTAAAGAAATAGAAATCCTGTAAATAAGGAAGAGGTTCCTCCTTTTGTTGCAATCTGGCAGCCATCCTAATTTATGCTACAGGATGTAATTACATATGTAAATGGGTATCACTTAACACATTAATAACACCTCCACTACAACAATTCATGCACCACGTTAAGAGTATTGAACAGTGAGTGAAGAAGGGGGAGGGGAAGAACAAAGGAACCAGAGGAGATGGTGCGATAACGTGCTGTGTTAGAGGAAAATTGTGCCGGTTTAAAAAAAGCCGCACATGATCTATTTTCCTCATTCTGTTGTATTTTACATATTCTGCTGAGACACAGCGAAGCATCTTTAAATGAAGGAAAAATGAGGGAAGGAGGAGGGAGGATGGGAGGGAAGGCGGAGGCGAGGGAGAGGCAGCAGAGAGCAAGGGGAGGAGGGTGCACTGTTGCGTCTTCCGCCGCTGTCATTCTGCTGCTGCGCGGTTCAGCGGCATGAGGGTGTGCTGAAGGGAGGACTGTGGAAAAAAGAGGAAAGGAGGACTGAAAGGAAGGAGAGAAAGGGAGCGCCTGGGCAGCACTGCAACAGCTGCAGCTGCAGCAGCCTGTCAGGAAGAAAAGGAGACAGAGGGAGACAGAGGAAGGAAAGGCTGAAGGATTGCTTTAAATGGACCATTTCTATATATAATTTTGCACAAAGAGAAGGAAGTGTAGAAGCCTGTTTTCTTCCTCCTGATGCTTTTTGATATGGTCTCATGCAGGAGGAATGCTTGGAAATAGTGTGAAAGACAGAGAAGGAGATTTAAAGATGGAAAGGACGGATAGCACAAAGGCATACGGCCAAGCAGATGGCAAAGGAGTTGGTATGGCAGCTAAGAGGGCCAAGTCTGGAGTGCCCCAGAGCACACCGAGGGGAGAACTAAAGGTTTACCGGGCAGGTAGCTCTGAGGGCAGGATACCAGTGCCCTCTAATCTCCGCAAACAGAGGTCTATGACAAACCTGGCTGTGCTCACTGACGCCGAGAAGAAGTTACACCTTTATGAGCCAAAGTGGTGTGATGACATGGCCAAGCCTGGAACAGGGCAGATCAAAACGTGCAAGCCAAAGACAGCAGGGGGTGGCAGCAGTGCTGGAGGGGGCGCCCCTCTCTCCCGAAACCTATCCAAATCTGAACACTCACTGTACCAAGGCAAACCCAAGCCCTTTAGCCCTCTGGCTGCTCCCTCTGCCCTGAACAAGCAGAGCCGCATACCTCGTGGTCCTTACGCTGAAGTGAAGCCTTTGAGCAAAGCACCTGAGGATGGAAAATCAGATGATGAGATCCTGTCCAGCAAGGCAAAGGCCAATGGAAAGAAACCTGGAGCTGGAGCTGGAGGGGAATGCAGTGCCAAGGGTCAAGGAGAGGAAGGAGCAGACAAACCTTTCCTGAAAGTGGACCCAGAGCTGGTGGTGACAGTGCTGGGTGACCTGGAGCAGCTGCTCTTCAGTCAGATGTTAGGTGAGTACAGCCAAGAAGCCCTAATGCCTTTACCACCACTGGGCTTCTCAAATACGATGTGCTATGAACCACATCTGCAACACGCCCCCCTTTGAAACAGCCACCACACGGCACCTGCTTGCTGCTCCCGATCCACATTTCCCCTGAACGGATTTTACACAGCTCACCAACTGTGGGGGGGGAAAAAAGCACAAAGACATCTTCATGCTTGCAAAGCATGCTACTCTTATTTTATTGAATACAGGCACTGTTTAGCATTTTAACATGAAGCTGAAATGATTCTTATTCCTCTAGCATGTTACTCAGGTTTTTGTGCTTTGGTTTTGGGCGTGTGAGATATTTTTGCTCGCAGTCATAACATTGCTGCCTGATTGCATTATGCCTGGGGGGGTTTTGGATTATTACCAACAGGCTGATCTCCTTCCGAAAGACTCTCATTTATGGCAACATGTGCATATGCACTCGAGGGTCCATCAGCTTCTCCACATATGCTTCCAAAAACCAGAAATGGGAATAACAGCATGCCATATTAAGTTCCTTTTAGGCACAGAGACACACATTTAGCCTCCTCCCAGCTTCATTCATCTGCAGAGCACTGACAGACGGCTTCCACCCAGTGTACTACTACACTGCAAATGGCAAAGAAAATGGCTTTGTCTGTGGAGGTTGTAGGTCAGGTTTTGTATCGGGAAAGCTTTTATGATAAATACAGGTGTTGATTATAATATAGTGGTGATTATGATTCTGATGATTAGATGTTGTATTTGTTTATTTTCTAAATAGATAGCTTTGTATTTAATTGCAGGTGTGTTGTGTATCTAATTATAATCTAATTTGGATGCACTGAACACCAAATCTAATTGTGAGATGTATAAAATGGCATGTTGGAGTGTATGTATTTCACAACTGTTAATCTTTGCCCTTATATATACATTGACAGACAAGCAAGCATGTCTTCTTCCATTCAGCTCAACATCATCATGTTTGCTGTTGCATCTTAATGAACACATCTGTAATGATTTGATCTGTTATCCACGCTTCATTAGTATGTGGACATTTATCATTCATACTGGTTACACTTACATACTGCAGAGACCAGTAGGAACTTTATACTGTGCTGGATATTATACATGTCAGCAGCTCGAATCCCTTTTGTGTAATTAACTGTGGAGCCACAACCAAAATTGCTAAGAGTTCTGGAGGTTCGGCACCACACCCATATTTGCTTTATTAGCTTAAATTTGCAGCTCAGTGCTTGAGGCTGATATTTCTGTATCCCTCTGGCTCAAATGGAAGACATTTTTGAAAAAGTTGTTTTTATCATTTTAATGAACTGTGAAAAGAAAAATAGCCTTCCAGAAACAGGCTACAGGGAAACACGGAAAGACATTTAAGTTTTAGCATCGAAGAAGAATTAATAAGCAAGAAACTGAGAAAAAATCTTTTCATGTTACACTAGTAATGTCATTGTTTTGGGTTGAAGACAGCATTGTCAGAGTTATAACAGAATGTTATGTTTTACCAGTTTACAGAACTTTTACAGTGAACATGCCCATTACTGCAAATATTTCTTTTCATGTCTGCAGTACATTCAAGGCCTGGTTAATGCTTATTTCTGTGCTCCGCATCAGCAGCATCTCTCGTTATGAGCTCCTTGAAAGGATGCATTTATTTATGAGTATAGTGGGTCTCTTTGTTTTCCAATAGGGCAAGAATGGTCATCTTAGTTAATAGGGTAATTTATTAATTTAACCATTTATGTTTGTGCAGGACACTGGAGCATTACTGTACATACCACTTCCTCATCACAAGGCAAGGTTTCATGCACATGGATACATAAAAAACTCCTTCCTAAGATCTAGAATAGCTTCACAGAGCAGCAGAATTTGGAATAGAGCAGGAATAAATAAAATAAAAAATCAGTTGCATTACATTATTTTCAAAGTAAAGCACATACAAGAAGTCCACAAAGTAGTAGAGTAGTACAGACAGAAATACATCTGATAAAACCCATCTACCCTGGACAACATGGGGACGAACAAATCTCATTTTGTCATAATTGGAATCTGTCATGCCAGATCTTCAGAAATGAAGCAGTGGTCTATATCTATCACAGCGGATCTAGAGATGGTTATGTTTGCCTTTTTTGTTGAAGCTACAGAGGCACACAAGTGTCAGAGAGGTTCACTTTTACACAGGTTATCATAAGGGTAACTTTTTAAAGGCCACATTATCATTCTCATTTTACTTCTTTTAAGGTGGTATTTCCAGTGTATTAGTGGGAAACTCTTCTTATCTCATACTTAGAAAGGAGTATTAGTGCCACAGTAAAAAAAAAAACAAAAATTGTATTGATCATTTTGAGAATAAAGTAGAAATTTTGAGATCAAAGTTGCTGTTTCAAGACAAAATGCCACATGCAACATTAGTCACAGTTCATGTTTTCTTAGAAAGATAAATATTTTCCAGTTATCATCTACTACGTCTGCCTTTGAAATAAGAAGGTTCATGTGAGCTGCAAAAAGATCCTGCCCTTCCTTTTTGCCCTAAAGCAAAAACCTTTTTTTCCTCTTTCTGTCAAGTTCTTACATTTCCATGTGAAATTTAACCCCCTGAACAGGCATAAAAGTGAAATGCGGAGATTGAAAAAAACTGCAAGTCCCTGCTGTTTTATGTCTTGGTGACTTGGTGCAACATGCGGTTCCTTTAATGTTAATCTACCAGTGTTTGTAAGGTTAATTACTGAGGACCTCTAGCTATTTTAGAATGAGTCTTTCCAAACTTTTATCTTTTCCTACATTGTGAGTATATAGAGTATCTCCTGAGATGTTGCATCATTCATAGGACTTTCCCATTTCAGATCTGCTTCAGTATTCTGTCTGAGTTTCCCTTTCTCCATCCAACTGCAATGCAGGGTACCACACCGCTACTAAACAAGAACACAACACATAAATCTAATACTCACAGCAGATGTGATTCACATGAGCACTTTGTGTCTAGCATTCCTGCTGAAGTGTATCCCCCAGAATTAATCGCAAAGGAAATGAGAAGACTGAATAAGAATGCACTATGACAAAAAGATTTATTGCTCAGTGGACACCTCTGCTGATCTCATATTAAGGACATATTTGTGTTAGCATTGCAATTTCAAGATATTAATCTTCTTTCTGATAATATCAAATATATTAAAACTATTTGGGGTCACGTGAAGCCCATGCTTTCCCCAGAGTATAGTGTTTAGAACAGGGGTGGGCAATCTCAGTCCAAAAGGGCCGGTGTCCCTGCAGATTTTAGATGTGTCCTTGAACCAACACAGCTGATTTAAATGGCTAAATTAACTCCTCAACATGTCCTGCAGTTCTCCAGAGGCCTGGTAATGAAGTAATCATGTGATTCAGGTGTGTTGACCCAAGGTGAGATCTAAAACCTGCAGGGACACCGGCCCTCGTGGACTGAGATTGCCCACCCCTGGTTTAGAAGAAGGCCACTAGACTACAAACAGATAAAGAACTGAAGAGCAGGATGTTGACTATATACCATTTTTATTTGAAATTCATGTCTAATCTGCTAGGAATCTCTCAAAGCAATGTTTTAGATTGTCAAAGGAGCTTGCAAAGAAAAGCGTCTGGACTTCTTTAAAGTCCAGACGCTGAGTCTTGCCACCTGTCCTGTGGAGGTGGCAAGACTCAGCTGTCCATCTGCATCTTAAGGATAAAGTTCACATTTTGGACAGAGAG